TCCTGCAGCTCTTCCTGCTGGCGACGCACCTCCGCCGCCTGCTCCCGCTGGGCGGCCGCCATTTCGGCCACCATCTGGGCCAGCTCCTCCATTCCCTGGCTCCGATACGGACCCGCCGTGCTGCCTCCTGGGTTTCGGCACCAATGTGGCGAGAATAAGGCACGGCGGGACCACGGAGTATCATTCGGAGCCATCTTTATTTACATCTCACCACAACAACAATCACCAAACCCCTGAGTCCCCGTGTTTTTAACTAGGCGGGCGTGATTAAGGACGCCGTGCAGGTGCGTCCGCCCTCCCTGCATGGCACCGCAGACCACGCCCCACCACAGCAAGTTTACAAAGTGCTGCCCTGTGGATGCATCGCGCCTCACTATGGAGACAAGCCTCTCCTGCACAGCCTCAGTAACATACCTGATGATTACTGAACACGGATCATAACCTGTGATGTTTTGGGTTGTCTGGCTGAACAGAGAACCTGCCAGCTTTCTGGACGTCACTGTTGATGCTCTCTTGAATGAGATGGCCGAGTGCATCAGTCACTGAGTTGACAGTCATTGTGGAAAGTAGGGTGATGAGACACCTTCTACCTCTTCATCCACTGGACTCATGCAACTTCTTGCTTTTCTCATTGCAGTCATTCAAATGTTCTCCAAGGCACTTATCATACTTGCCTAATAACACAATCAGAACGTTACCATGATCGATGGTGTTCTCACCCCACGTGTGCAGCCTCGTTCTCCACATAGCTGAGTCCCCTCTCCCCAAGTACTTTGACCACAAAGTCACAGAGCACGAGTCTCGATTCACTCGTGCTCTGTGAGCTGACAATGACTGCCAGCAAACAAGCTGCTGATGTTACAGTTTGAGCACCTTAAGAAAGAAGCTTCAGCGCAGGTCTGGTGTGTAGTGCTCTTTTCATGTCAGTCCGCCCTGCAAATCCCCGACGCACAAAGCAGAACAATAAACGTCAATAAAAAGTCAGCACAATGAAAATAAACTTGGTTTATAACTGACCCGGATAGACTGCAGGTCATAACGTCTGACCTGAAGTTCCTCCACCCCTGGAACCGCCCCGGGTCTCTCCTCCTCCTGCGTCCCCTCTCCCTCATCCACCTGCTGGCCTCCAGCACTTGATAATGTTACTGAATCTGTGGAAGCTCCACCACAGACACCACCAAACAATTAGTTAGTTATCTTTACATATTTGGCAGCGTCTGCCTGAAGGGCTTGTTTCCTTTTGGCCCTCATTTTTTTCTGCACCTTCTTTCTGTTTTTTCTTCTCCGTTTTCTTCTGTTTGTCTGTGATGAGATTGCTTTCAGAGCCGTTGCCCAAACAAGGGGGAGGGTGCATCCGACCTTCTCGGCTGCAATTGGTCCAGCTCAGAGTCGATCATGAACAACTGGCCAATCCACCGCCTTTCATTGTTTATGCCGTTACAAAAACGCGGCCTGTCCAGCTGTGCACTCCAACACACTCCTACTGCCTCTGCAAGTTCAGTTATCAGTTACCACAATAATTAAAAACAGTTCAAGTTGGACTGTTTGTTAAAAGTAACTGTAATGTTTTAATACATTAATGTTATCGGTTCAGTTTTCCATCTGCATCCAGGTCACTGAATGGATGATTTTAACCTCCTGAGTAAGTCAGTGAATCATTAAGACAGTTTTTGAGATTCTTCACTCGGTGTGTTTAAAATCTTTCTCGGTCTCACATTATAATTTCTTTATTTTGACTTTTTTTCTTTCTAAATTATCAGCTTTTTTCCAAACGTGTTAAATTGTTTTGTTAATTTAAACATGTTGCTAACACCACTGCAGCTTTTTGTTACTTCCACACGCAGCTTCCTCCTGTCTTCCACAATTCTCTTTTTGTACTTCCAGTGATTCACCACAGGATGGCGCTCCATCTCTTTGCTTCTCTCTTTCAAACCGAGGCAGACGTTTTTATTTGCGTGAGAAGTTGTCAGATTTATAGTAAACAGGAAGTACTTTGTTGCCATGGATTCAGTGAGTCAAACTGGTGCAGCGGTGTGACGTATACCTTTGAGTGTGATACAGCCTGACACTGTATCACTGTCTGAAAAAGTATCTTAATCCTTGATTAAGGTTGTTATTTATGAAAACATGCTCATCTTTTAAAATGTAAGGCTCGCCTATCATCGGCTCTTCTATTCAGGTCTTTAAATTAGAAATTCCAGTTAGTCGGATGTTTTTGAAGCTGTCCTTGGTTATATGTGGAAAACTCTGACATTAAACTGGCCTGTTCCTCCAGCTGGAGTCTTTCCTGGGTTCATGTTGTGTTTTGTCTAATGCCATATTCATGCAGCCTTGCTGGAAGTCAGTTATGCATGTCAGAAAGCCCAGATTACATCTGATTACAAACACTGGGAACACAAATCTTAAACACTTGTTTGGTTTAAATAAATGTGTAGTTTGAATATTTCAGCTAAATCTTCTGCTTTGTTATGTTACGTTTTTGAACTTTATGAAATTAAATTTAGGAAAATTAATATAACTTCTATTAAAATGGCACATACTCTATCCACTTACCTCCATCCCTCCATCCACAGACAACAATAAGAATTTATGGTTATGGTTGGTAATGCAGTGTGTTGTTACAGCCACAAGAGGGCAGCAACCTTAAGGTTTTATCTTTAGCAGCAACATTTATATAGATGATATTTTATTAAAGGTAAATGTTATTCATGTTATATTGACTGTATTATAAAAAGCAGGCAGAATTATAAAGAATAATAAATTAAATCTAACAAAAAACTAGACGTGGAAAATGCAAAGATAAACAAGAATCCTGCAGTTTGAGGCAGTGTGAGGTTTTGACCAGCAGGGGGCAGCAGAGTAAAAGGCAGGAGGAGCTGCTGTTAAACAAAGGTTGGCTCAAATCATGAAATAGTGTTGCATGCGGTGGGTTGTGTATTTTATAGTGATATCCGGTGCACAGTGATGTTTCTGTAGCACTTTGAAGTCCTCGGAGTATGCCAGAGTATCTGCACGTGTGTTTTCCTCAGCTGTGTCCACTTCCCTTAATTAGACCCGTGCTTATTTATGGTGCTGCCTCCACTTTGTTTCTTGGCGTGTCTGTGAGCCTCTTCTGTGGTCTTTGTGTGTCATGGATTTAGTAAACAGCCTTAATAAACAGCTGTTTTTATTCTGGGTCTTCTCTAAGATGCTGTTAAAAAGTTCACCACCCTCCAAAACACCTTCACAGGTAGGTCTTCTGGGCCAGTGGCTTTTCCCCACCTCTCACTCCATCCTCTGCACTTCCTGATTTTCTAACTGTCATCCTCTCATTTCTACATTCATCACATCCCCAGAGTACTCCTTCCATCTTCACACTCCTTTCACTTGTTAGCACATTATCATCTCCATCCTTAATCACTTCTGTCCTTTCCTGCTTAGTCGATCATTACAAGTCATTTTCTCCTCCTTTGGTATCAGCCTGAAATACAGCGTACTGGGCTTTTTGCTTTGTCACCTCTTTGCTGTACGCTTAAGCTCCCAGTACTTCCACTTTCTTCAGCTTCCTGAATATCCCACTTTTTTTGCTGACCCAAATACCTTCCTGCACTGCTTCATTCCACCACCAAGTCTCCTTGTATTTCCCGATACACCAAACACTTTCTTGGCCGTTTCCTCAGCACTTCCAGTCATCTGCTAAATCCTTCCCACCACCCAGAGCCTGTCTCAGCTCCTCCCAAACTCTGTGCGGCATTCTTGGCTCTGCATTCACTCACTTCCTCCCACAGACTTCCATCTGATGCCCTCTAGCTGCATTCTCGTTAAATCGAACTCTCTTGGCCATCATCCAGTGTTCCTCCCTCCTCTTGAAGTACAGGTTCACCAACAAGCTTTTCACCTGCTCATCACCTGTGTCCCCTTCCCTGACACGTCCACTGAAGTCTGCTTCAAAAAGCTGGTTTAAATGTACCTCTGAGGACATCAAATACAGCAACAGGCTGTAATGAAGCAATAAACAGCCGATGCAGCTGTTCCTCGTGACATCTTTAACAGCTAAACATCTGGCACGCCTGTTGCCTCAGTTTCTCTGTTTCTGCTTCTTTCACCTCATTTTTGATGGGAGGGTCTAAGATATGAGGAGAGAAATAAAGGATGTACACCCGGGAAATGAGACCTGGAGATGGTTGAAGCACGTTCTTTCATTTTGTGAATTTAAAAATAAATAAATAAAGTTTCTTCATAGGTCTTGACCATGGAGCCCATAATCTGTTCTTTATATTTCAGTTTCATAGATGTTATTGTGATGTTGTCTTTCCCAGAATTAATTCAGATGACATCAAAACAGAGAAAATAAAAAATCACATCAAAGTAAAATAAATAAATATAATAACAGTATATTTGCTGTGCTAAATTCTTGTTTCTCCTTTTAGTGGCTTTGTTTATAATTTTTCAAAATAATTGTTTAAATATGTTTTGCTTTTGTTTAAGATTCTTTCTCTTAGGTTAGTTTTCCTTTAAATTTTTATTTTATTTTTTAATGATATTGTAATTGTTTTTATTTTATCAAACTTGATTCATTTAATACATTTTCTATTAGCAGATTACTGCTTTTGCATTCGTAGCTCGTGATCCTTTTCTTCGTTCTGTTGTTTGTTTGTTTATTCAATCCAGGTTTTCTTTCGATAAACATTGTTTTGCTTGTTTGTTTTCATGACTTCATCACGGGATAAGAGCGGGTTTCCCGGAACTTTGTTCCTTTACATCATTTACAGTCACGACCACCCTCTTACCATTCACAAAAAGTACACGTCCGCTGAGTAAAATAGTTCCCATATTTTGCACATCTTCTTGCTGAATTTAAAGTAAAACTAATACTACAATCAAGCTTTTATGGTAGAAATGCACTAAAGGTTATTTTCTAAAGGGTCAGCAGCACATCGATAGGTCCCGTTTGTTTACTACGTAGTTCGCATTTGGCGGGAAGATTGTAGTGCCGGCGGATGAAGATAAAAAAGCCGGAGTATTTAATGTGTGTGAAGCAGCTGATGGCTGAGTTTCACGCTGAGACGGCAGAGCAGCTGGGCGACACTGAGGGACCGTTATAGCGTCTGTTATCGAGAAACTGAGGATTATTTAAGACTGACAGGCTCTGCTGGACAAAGCCCGCTATACGTTTACTCGTTACTCGCTTGAACATTTGGACCTTTTTCACGTTTTCACCTTAACTGTTGGAGAAAAACGGTAAGTTTATGTCTGAAGCTTTCTGGATGCTTTTCTTTGCTGTCGTTTAACTTTTCGCTTAGTCAGTTTAAAATGTGTGCCGAATTTATCGCTGATGTTCGTTCTTCGCATTTTGACCGTTTTTCCTTTGATGCGTGACTCTGAATAAATGGTTCATTGTTATTAAACTAGCGTCGCGCATTTTGACAGCTGAGTTTCGCATATCTGCAGAAGTTCTCGCCTGTCTGGAGACTTTACTCATACTGAAGCTCTGTGTTTAACTCTGCTCTGCAACCTTTACTTATGTCTTTTAACCGCATATTCTGTTTTTATTTTTTGATAAAATTACTACTTTTAAAACTGTTACGCATGTTAAATCCCGAGTTTTAATACATTTGAGTGAGTGTGTCTGCACTGCAGATGTGTGTAGTGCTGTTTACTGATGAAGGATCTTTGCTTTCTATTATGTAAACTCGGGCTTTAATCCAAAGAAAGCTAAACTAGCTGTTTTTTGAATGGAGTCTGGCATGCTTAACTGATTCTCCTGCACTGTTGTAATATCAGATGGTTTTTGATGTTGTGGTCATGTGCTTGGCTCAGGCTGACCTGCTGTTGTGTTTCTCAGGCCGCCGTCATGCCGCCGGTGTTGAACAGCACAAACTACGATTATGACTACGACGTGGTCCAGCCCTACTTCTTCCTGAATGGTGAAGAGGAAGACTTCTACCCTCCTCCACGCAGCCAGCTCCTGCCGGCTCCCAGCGAAGACATCTGGAAGAAGTTCGAGCTGCTGCCTACACCTCCCTTGTCCCCCAGCCGGAGACCCTCCCTGTCTGCCGCCGACCACTTGGAGGCGGTGTCTGACCTCTTGGACGATGACCACAGCTCCTCTGCAGCATTTCTGCAATCCTTCATCATCCAGGATTGCATGTGGAGCAGCAGCTTCGCCGCCGCCACAGAGCTGGAGAAGGTGGTGTCAGAGAGGCTGGCCTCGCTGCGGGCCCGCCGGGACTCCTGCAACACTAAGACCATCACAGACAGAACAGCTGACGAGCAGGTGGGCGGGTCTCAGGTGAGCGCTGGGTACCTGCAGGACTTCCACACCTCGGTGACAGACTGCATTGATCCCTCTGTGGTGTTCCTGGGTGAGAAGCAGATGGATGATGGTGTGGCGATGGAGGTGGGGTCTGAGCTGAGACTGGACTCGCCACCACCCAGCAGCAGTGACAGCGAATCAGGTGAGTTTTATTTTGAAAAGCCAGCTCTTTAATCCTGAGTATCAGAGTCACTGAACTCTGATTTTCTCCGACCTTTCCTTCACTTCTCATTTACCCTCTGAGACCAGTGGTTAGAAACAAAGAAGCATCAGGTAGGATCCACTTGCATTTTGGGAAATGTAGTAACCCAGTGGTTTTCAGAGTATCTCAAAATACTGCATCTATTGAAACAGCCCGGCTCAGGTGCGTTGGGGTCCAATCAGCTGACTGAAGTGAACTCCTTAAAATCAGTAGCTAGTTTTCTTCTTGCAGTCATTACTTTTACATCACAGGAAGTGCAGAGGACAGTCAAATGATGTGGGGGCTCTCAGTGAAGCAGTGCCTGTCATCCCAGATCACACCAGCTGTTCAGAAAGCTTCACCACAGGGCTCTTTCTGTTCCTCATACGTCACCATTATTTTGACGCTATAGTTACTGTGGATAGTAGTGCATTAAAATGTAACCTTAGTCTGAATTAAGCTGTGGATTAAAATATCCACCAGTCAGTGTCAGCAGACATCTGAGAAATGTTTTCATTGGCCGGTAAATGTCTGAAAACTATGGAAGCGAGGAGTTCAAGGAGGGCACGTTTTCTGTCTCGCTCTGCTGCTTTCACTCGTTTTCTGTCCCTCACTCGTCCATCAGCAGGACGGTGGTTTTGGCTCAGACCGCGATCACTTTTATTTACACCAGAATGTTTTTCCTTGTTTTTCCCAGAAGAGGAAGATGATGATGAGGAAGAGGAAGAGATCGATGTGGTGACAGTGGACAGGAGAAAGTCATCTCAGCGGTCCCACACCTCCCCTCTGGTCCTGAAACGCTCTCACGTCAACATCCACCAACACAACTACGCTGCCCAGCAACCCCCTGAGAAACGGGTGAAGGCGGAGAGCAGCAGCGCGGCACCGAGGCAGAGCGGCGGGCGCCGGTGCTGGAGCCCGAAATCGGAGGGCGAGGACAACGACAAGCGCAGGACTCACAATGTGCTGGAGAGGCAGCGGAGAAACGAGCTGAAGATGAGCTTCATGGTTCTGAGGGACGAGGTCCCAGCGGTGGCCAACAATGAAAAAGCAGCAAAGGTGGTGATCCTGAAGAAGGCGGCGGAGTTCATCATGGAGGTCAGAGAGCAGGAGAGGAAGCTGTTGGCAAAGAAAGATGAACTGAGGAAGAGGAGCAGAGAGCTGAAGCAGAGGCTGCAGCAGCTCAGGACTTCACATTAACATCTGCTCAGTCGTTCTAGTTTCTTCACTTCAGGTTTTAAAGCTAAAAATAATGACCGACGTCACCTGAATGCAGCACGCTGCCCGTGGGGCTCGCTGCTCGTCTGTAATCAGGTTTTCTGTTTTTTATTTATTTTTGTTTTTATTGACTATTTTAATTTAAAGTAGTTTTTCAAACATTCCAGTTTATGAGGCGAAAATGTGAATAAATGTGTCATAACTTTAATTTACAGCTGATGATGAACAATAATTTAATTCACTATATTTAATCTGTTCACTCCCTAAAGCTTTTGTATTTTTAATTTCAGAGTTTATTTTTATATATATTGTTTTTGTTCAAAAGCTTTTTTTTTTTGCACTAAAAGTACACCAGAAGTGTTTTCATCCCTTCAGAATAAAAGCCCTTCACATGTTGGAGCTTCTCTTGATCTCAAAGTGTCTGCTTTGTTTCTGCAAACCTCCCTGTTTGTTTGTAAGTCCCAGAATCATGTGGCGGTGTGAAACGTGCCTCAGGCAGCCGCTGGATCCCCTTAGAAGGATCAGCTTAAACCCACAGTGACGTTACCCCACAGTCACTGATAAAATTCAAGTTTCAGTGGAAGTGTTTTCAGCTTCTTGTAACATCTGAGGGTGGAATCGCCAAGTTGGTTCCTTAGAGACAAATTCCGCCTCTTGAAAATGATCCAGCGCATATTCCTGTGGGTCATTTTCATGGCATTTCCTCTGTATTCTGGCCTGAGCTGTTTCTTTTCCGTCATTACTCAACATTTCGGCTGCGTCATCGGAGAACATCCGGCCCAGCGGAGCAGCGCGCTGAGGCTGTCGTGGTGCTGCGCGATTTCCACACTGAACACGGGGTGAAAGTTCAAACCAAATCAGCTGCTCTGCATTTACCAGCCGCATCACTTTAAGAGGGTCAAAGGTCAATTGGCATGGCTTTGACTGAACAGTATCTATATACACATAACTCCCTACGCTAGTAGTTAAATAATCTTTTGACTGAATAGCTGTCAAAGTTAATTTAACTCAGGACCACAGAAGAATGTAACAATCAAACACACCCGAGTTAGTCACATAATTCAGTGTAAGTTCAGGCCAATCATGTTCACACAAAGCTGTCAAACATACAGCTGATCTCAGAAAGCAGCAGGCTGTACACTTACGTAATCAAATATATCCTGATCATGTGTCATACAGCCTGGACTCAGCAAAAAAACTGTATTGATTGAACACAGAGGTGGTAAATGTGTCCATATGCTGAGTCACGAATGTTCCCACCTGGAAGTGTTCGTTCTTCACTCCACAGAGAATTTACAGGGAACTGTAGGGAACGCAACACGATATGAAGTTCAGTTTGTGAATTATGCTCCGATCAGTCAGGCAGGGTTTGTGTTCGGCTCGCTCGTCAGATCTGGTTTTAAAGGATTGAAGTTGTTACAATGAAACAAGCTTCACTGAAACAGGCTGGTGTCACAGTCATTTATTTTTACTGTTGAATGTGATATAAATGAGTGATGTAAGTAAAACAAAAGCCTAAAATCTCAGGTTTCTGAGGCAGAACAGGATAAAGTGTGTTTTTGAAATATACGCTCAAAATGAATGAGACCAATAAAGCAAATATTTTTTTAATCAATAATCAGAATCAGCATATTTAATCCCTGAGGAAATGATGTGGGTTACAGTTGCTCAGTATAAATAACAGAAACAGAAACACAGACATTTAAGTAATAGCACAATATATACAAATCGCTCAACAATAAAATAAAATAAGGATTAACAGAGGTGATTATAAACAAATATCAAGAAAGCTGACAGGAATATCGCAGAGTAGAAAGAGTGTGTGCAAAAGGGTGTAACTACTGCAGTGTTTGCGCTGTGTTAGAGGGAGGAGGTGTACAGGGAGATGGCGTCGGGCAGGAATGGTTTCCTGTGTCGTGGTGATATTTGGTCACCTGAGTCTCTCGCTGAACGAGCCAGCGTGTCATGGAGTGGGTGGGAGGTGTTATCCAACATTGTCTTTATGACACCACCTTGAGGGAGTCCAGCTCCATCCCCACAACACTACAGGCCTTACAGATCAGTTTATTAAGTCTGTTGGCATCTGCGACCCTCAGCCTGCTCCCCCAGCATGCAACAGCATAGAGGATCGCACTGGCCACAACAGACTCATAGAAAATCCTCAGCATTGTCCGGCAGATGTTGAAGGACCTCAGCTGCCTCAGAAAATAGAGACGACTCTGGCCCTTCCTGTAAAGTGCTGTGGTGTTTTTAGCCCAGTCCAGTTTATTGTCTGTGTACTCCAAGGTATTTATAGTCCTCCACAATGTCCACACTGACCCCCTGGATTGAAACAGGGGTCAAGTGTTTCCTGGTCTTCCTGAAGTCCACGATCAGTTCCTTGGTCTTTGCCACGTTGAGCTGCAGATGATTCTGCTCACACCACGTGACAAAGGAGTCGACCACAGCCCGGTACTCTGTCTCATCATCCCTGCTGATGCATCCAACCACCGCAGAGTCATCAGAAAACTGAAGATGGAGGTCTCTGTGCAGTGGCTGAAGTCTGTGGTGTAGAGGGTGAAGAGGAAGGGGGAGAGGACAGTCCCCTGTGGTGCCCCTGTGTTGCTGATCACCTTGTCAGACACATAACATTGAAGATGGACGTATTGTGGTCTTCCTGTCAGGTAATCAACGATCTAGGACCCCAGAGAAGCATCCACCTGCATCGCTGTTAGCTTATCACCCAGGAGGGTCGGCCTGATGCAGTTGAAAGCACTGGAAAAGTAAAAACCATGACCCTCACAGTGCTCACTGGTCCAGGTGGGTGTAGACACGATTGAGCAGAGAGATGATGACGTCCTCACTTCCCAGACGGGGCTGGTAATCAAACTGAAGCAGATCCTGATGTGGCAACAGTGCTATATGGAGAGGGAGGGAGCGACAGTGGTGTGGCTCAGGCTGGCTGGTGAGGTTGTGGGTGTGTGAGCATTCACTGAAAAACAAATTCAACTCGTCGGCTCTATCCTCACCTGAATCCAGTGGTGGTCTTCATGCCACTCAATAAAGGCACATGAGTCAAATTCAGCCTTCATATGGTTGGACTCATCAGCAGCAACGACGTGGGAGTTCACATCTCAGACAACCTCACCTGGACCACCAACACCACCTCCATCAGCCCAGCAGCACCTCCACTTCCTGGGACACCTGCAGCAGCCAACCCTCCTCCCATCCTCACCATGTTCTACAGGAGCACCATGGAGAGCGTTCTGACCAGCTGCATCTCCGTGTGGTTCAGAAACTGCAATGTTGGTGATCTCAGCAAACTACAACAAATTGTTAAAGCAGCTGCCAAGATCACTGGAACAACAACTGCTGCATCAGTAAGGCCTCCGGCGTCATGCTTGACCCCTCACACCCCTCACATGGACTCTGTTCCCTCTGGCAGACCCTACCGCAGCATCGGGGCCAGATCCTCCGGACTGCGGTTTAGCTTTTTCCCCCAAGCCATCAGACCCCTGAACTCACTGCCGCCCCCTCGCAAACATGGGTTCTCTGAAAAGACGTTCTGAATATGACTTTTGCAGGGAAAATAAAAGTATCTTTTGATATTCTTCTGACTTTTATTTCACTCATCTGTTTCTGATATTTAATCACTGATAAAGAGTCTGGGCGCTGGCCGTGAACTTTCCTTGTTGTGTCTAGAGTTCAGGCATGCAAGAAACAAAAGAAAAGAACCACTGTGATAACAGCATCAGGACAGGATCCTCTCTCATTCTTTCCATGAATAAAAAACTAATTTCTGAGTCGCAGTGACTCAGGCTGATTCACGGGAACAGTCCAGACTGCTGAGTCATGCTGAAAACCTGCAGATCGTCCAGGACGGTCAGCAGTGACTGAGGGGTGACGAGTTTCCGGTTTCTGCTGCTCCAGAGCTTTGTTTCCCACTTTTTCCACGTTTCTATTACCTCAGCGCTCATGTTTCTGATTAATTCTCAGTTTGAATTTGAAATCTGCATTAAGAATATTTTAGAAGAAAGCACAAACAAGCAGCCGCTAAGGGACAAGGAGCTTTGAGAGATGGAAAGGGCTTTGAAGACGTCTCAGCGACACTAAGACGATTCTTGTTCGTCCACACAGAGAGACATATGAGACTCTTTGTGAACCTCCAGGTGTCCAAACCACCGTGGACAGCTGAGTGTTGCTCTGAGGTTCCAAACAGAGAAGCCTGTGGACCCACAGCCTCTGAGTGACTGACTGTAAGGTGCCAGGAAGAAAATCCACATGAAGATAAAGAACGGGCTCTCGGGTGTCCACTGGGCTTTTAAATGCCTCCCACAGCAACCATAAATGAGTCCAGTGTGTCCTTGAATAAATCATGAGGTGTTTTATGGACTCCTAAATCTCCTCATAAAAACATATAGTGGGCTCTTAGGTCTGTGGTAGTCAAGTGTGCAGTGGGTAATCAGATGTCCCCATGCAGACTTGTTGGGATTGTCATGTTTCCATTTATGTCTTTTAAGGATCTTTCAGGAGGTGACAATAGACCCTCTGCTGTCAAACGAGCCATTTGAAAAGCACATACAGGGAATATCATGTGTCCACCTAAAGACATTAGAGGCTCCGAGGTACCCACACAGGCAAAATGCCAAGAGGAAGTGGGGACGTGTACTCAAGGGAATTTCTGCATATTCTTGTTTGTACAGGGCATCCAGGTGCTCTCATTTTCCTCTTGAGGGGAATTTGGGAACGAATAAACACTATAAAAGCTCCATAAAAGACTGAGACAAATTCCTGTGACCACTGAGGCGATGGCAGGACTCCCACCTGCTGCTCATAAATCAGGAGCTGCACTTTCCTTGCGATAAACACAGTTGGAGGTCTCCCTGAAAAGCAGAGAGACTCCTTTGGCGTATCTTTTCCTCTGAAAACACACAGTGTTGAAATACTCCTGCTGAGCAGCTTCATCCAGACTGTTTGACACCAAATGATGTTTTAATTTCTGCTGAGTTACAGTCGGGACAAAGCTGGAAGCTGTGAATCTCATCAGGCAGGCAGAAGGCACGGATCAGGTGGTAAATCTGCCAGATTGGTGTTTGTTCGCGCTCTCTGACAGGAAGCTCGCAGTCACATGATCTGAGCTCTCAGGGTGGCAAACAGCAGATCAAAGAGAATTCACAAACCATCGGGGGGTGGGACATGTTGCTGTTACTTTAGCCATGTTGTCAGCAGAGTGGGATCTAGTTTGTGGCGATTACACGTTGATACACAAAGAGCCTTAAAAACATTTCAGTTTATCCAAACGTTGTTCTGCTGTTTGTGTGTAACTCTGTTGTTGTGTTAAAGTGCTGCACTATACCAAAGACAAACACGTGAGCTCAGTGAACCTTCCTGCATGGATGCGGGTTCAGTGACTGCCGGTGCTGTTCCCA